GTTTTTGTCTGAATCGGCCATCTTAAGACACAATAAACTTGACTTATATAATGAAAAAGAAGTAAACGCTTAAGGTTTAATGCGAAAGTGAATTAAAATTATCGCAACTCTCTTAGGGACTTTTTAACATTTCTCGAAGTTGCAAATGGAAGGCTTCTGACTGTTTTTATTTCAGGAAAGAAACAAATCAGCTAATTTATTGAAACATGGTCGAAATTTGCAAATGAACCAAAAAAAATGTACCATAGAAGCAAAGTACTCAGACAGGAAGAAACTCCCGATCAGTACAGCATGGCTACCTATGCTATGAAAACAACAGTGCAGTAAATGATAATAAATGCTTGCAGTTTTGAGCTCTCGTCCCCTGTGACTTGCCCATGTACATACGCTAGCAACTAAGCAATGTGAGCAACACCAGCACTAATCCTCCCAACAAAACCGAAGATTCAGCTACCATAATAAATATCGTCGTCTTGAAATGGGGCAACAAATCCATGGTCCACCCAACTTATTCACGAGTTATTTGCCGGTTTGAAATACAAGGTCGTTGAACCTCTTGCTTCGCTCTCAGAAGTGAACAGTCTGAAGATGGACCGAGCTTAGTCTGAAACGTCAGATGTCCCAAATCAAAGACTATTTTATGCGTTGTCTTCCCGTTGTGACTTACCTAAAGATTTTAAAACAAATTGTATAGAATTCTAGCGCTTCGATCTCTTCGAAATTTCCTACACAGGATATAGCTATTGCGTTGAAAAACAATAGGGCCATTTTAAAAATGACTTGATCAGAATCGATATAAGACATTTCATCTTGTGTTTCCAGAATAACTCTATGCTTTCACGATTATGCTTCCTGCTATTAACGTTATTTAAACGTGCTGAACAACTTGGTGTATTTAAAGTGCTATCCAGAATAATTATCCCCCGGTATAATGCTGGTATTGGACCTTCTGTTTGACTGAAAAATGATGAATTCGATTCGCTTGAAGATGCAGTAATTTTTACGAGCTGTTATAATGAACAGGTTATAAAACGCAGTATGAAACATTGATAGGTAGGTTGTGATATCGACACAGTAACCGTATGTAGCCGTCTGTATGCATTGCTCTCAGGTGTCGATTTGAACGATCGTCATTTTGTGTGACATGGACGTCTTGGAGGATTGTGATCTGTTGAAATGAATGCCCAGAGGGTTTTTACGAGTGTTAAAAATGGTGTTCCGTTTGCGTATCCAGTGCTTGAATTTGTTTGACTAACTTTTTATCGCTTCCGAATATTAATCTCTTTTCTATGAATATTAACGCTTGATGTTCTCAGTATTCTTTATGGCACTTGTAACTATTCCTATTTGTTTTTCGAATGTTTTTCATTCGTTTTAAAACTGAAAGTGGTGAGTAGTTGTGGTGCCGTTGAGTGGTGAAGCGACCCTGGAGTGCATTGTTTTAGTAGCAATTTAGCCTCTTTTTCCTCTTGTTAAGGTGCCTGCACGGTCATTTCGGAGTGAACTCATGTTGGCGTGCGTGCAACACTGTCCTCTTGGCTCTGCGCCTTTGGCCGTTTGCTTTAACGTTCGAGATCTCGGGGATTTGTATGATTTGGGGCGTTTTTCACTACTGCTGATTTGTTGTGAAAAATTGTTACAGCTACTTTGTTGTAAGGCTTTTATGTAGATTGTTGGAAATCGGCATTATACGTAAGGATCGAATCTTTTTTTATTACTGACAAAGGCATGAATTAGTAGTAACAGAAAGTGAGATCTTGTTTAAAATGAACGAAAGCTGACTCAGCAAAACTGACGTTGGGAATCCGTAAAAGAAATGGTTTGCCATTTCAGAAAGTTCAGCTGCTGATTATTAACGGATTGTTTTTTTTTTCATGCCCAACGAAAACCGTAACCGTAACCGAAAAGCAGGTAGAAAAGTTTTACGAACAGTCAACGTGTTTCGTTAGCAACACCGGTAACATTGTCAGGACTGAATGTCCAGTCATTATGCTCTCAGAATGAAAACGTTTTAAACGAAATGCTCATCATGATATATGTAAAATCACTGATTGATTGGTTGATTGAAGTATCCTTCTAGCTCTGGGTTTCTCAGAATCGGTCCCAGCTGTCAGTCTAAAAGTCTTTTGGCATATAGTTTGGAAAAGTTGCTCATTTTACTCTCTACTGCTTTCTGAAATCGGATAGAAGCTTTTCCTCGTATGGCTTCGAGCTGAGACCGAGTTAAGCTACTTCTTGCAGTGAACGTTGCCTAATATCAATCATAACATTTCTAACAGATGTCATGAACCTGAGTTGCTCTGCTGTTTGAACTATGCTAACCTCAGAAACGATAACAAAAATTAAAATCATCACGTACTTAAATATTCTGTTGCGATTGACGCTGTCCTGGTAGTGCAGCTGAATCATCGCAGCACCCGTGGATTTGTTGGTTGTTGAAGAAAATAAATTCTGGGCGATTCTTCATCGGATCTGAAACTATTTTTGTAATTCCCCTTAGTAAACTTGTTTCAGGTTGTTGCGAATATTGCTTGCAACAGCCGTATTCCTTGTACAAAACGTTTTCTCGCTTAACCGTTTACTGTTTCATGCTATTCATCCGATTAGTAGTAATAAAGAGCGGTGTTTAACAAACCGATCACAAATGCCCTGTAGAAGTGTTACTGGCGAGAGTATTTTGAAGATGGCCAGTGGATTGACTGATGGTTGGTTTGGATTATAGTTTGATGTAGGAATTTTGATGTTTCGTGGAAGCCGTATTATTTGCGGTATTTTTCTTGCCTGACTGCCGCGTAGATGCACAAAGTGCTGTAATTTTTTAACCCTAAAGTTAATCTGTTGTCGCTTTATACCGAAATACGGATGATATGAAGATTATGCATACGATGTAAGTTACAAAGAAGGCAAAACTGTATGGTAAGCTAGAAAAGTTTCAGTATGAAACTGTTAAGAGTTTTTTACTACATAATCAATCGAGTGATATAGGGCTGTAGAAACTGGATATCACCTTCTCATGCATATCGATGTCAGCAAAACGATTCCAAGAGGGTTTTTGAAACTTTCCTTGATTCTGGGCTAGAAAAAGTACAAGTCCTAAAGTTATTGAGTTGTGGTTTGAGTTATGGAATTGAAAACGCAGAACAATAAAACAAACAGTAACTGTAAAATTCCAACTTTACGAGTGGAAACTAGTTTTTGATACATCTCGCTTCTGGAAATTTGCTCAGCTTAATCGCACCTGCAAATAGCTTCTGAAAGACTAGGAAGCCATTTAGTAAGACCGGAGCTCCATAGTATTATAACTTCTACGGTTAAACGTGGTGGCACAGTTCCTGTGAGGTTGGTTTCGAACTCCGGAGGTGCCGGGTTTGATTCTGGTGAGGGGGGATCCTTATCACAATCGCAAATTCCCTTAAGCAATGAATTTGCCATTCGTTGCTCAGTTATTCGAGCGTCGGACTGAGAACCGAGAAACTCTGGGTTCGAGCCTCGGTCGAGATCTCACCTTTATGCTTTTGAGGAGGAAGAAACAGGAAACTATAGACTATGCTTGTCACAAACTGTGTTGTCGACTCTACCTTTGAAAAACAAGGCACAATTGGCTGATATGGAAATGATGTCCTATCATTAACTTCGTGAGATAGAGAATTTAGGATGGCCTCATCCTGAAAGTGTAGGGAAGATCGAACATCCGGCGATTGCAAACGTTCCTTTGCACCTTTCCTGTTGTATCTCCTGTAGTGCGTCGATGCAAAACCGCATCATTGCCGTCGATACCTGTAGGGTAATGCTTATAGGTAATCAGTTGCTATGAATTTTGTCAGAAATTTTACAGATGCTTGCTTTTGTGCGTGGAACAACATTTTCGTTTGAAAATGACACTGAAATCTTTCGAGGTCTGACTGTCATTTATCTATGATTTTAAAAGTATTTTAAGGTACTCAATTCATTTGCTGTATCTTAATCAGCTTATCCCAATTACAGCATAAGCAAAGTGCGAAACTAGCGTTTTTCTGAATTATTTCAAGTGGCATGTGTAGAATGTATGAAAAGTTTGGAATACCTTGGTACAGTTTGACAGGGATATTGTCTATCTCTTGTTCACACTCACACTTTCAAAGTGTCATTACTAGTGCTATATCACTACAAGTACTGAAAGCTCTTCATGCGGTACATTATTGAACATTTCTATTCCTTTTTCTCATTCTGCTTGGAATGTAAGTTCTATGAGTGAACTTAACTCATGTAACGGCGTTGCATCCGGGTATCTGAAGCATTCCGAAAGTGACATTGTATACAGTTTCAAGGCATTTGTACACATTATTCGTCATTTTTGGACTACTTTGATAGTACTTGAATGTTAACAAGATTCACCTGAGATTCAGTGCCGTACTCGATTTGTTTTTGAAGATTTTGTAATTTCGCCTGGGCAAAGCAGGAGTGACTTTTTGAGTTACCACAAATGACTTTTGTAAATATGTGCACCGCGCGTTTTGAGTACTCTAGTACAGTTTGAAAAAATCTTCTTAATATCTGAGTCGTTTTCTCATTCATTTTCGTCACTTTCACTCACGAACTTCATGGAGATATTCGAAATGCGGGTGGTAGTATCCTGTTCAACTTTGTTAAATTCCTTTTCTGATTTCGCTTGGAACAAAATTGAAAATGGGCATTATGACTGATTCTCGTACCGGTGATTGCACTGGATATGCACCGAATTTGGAGTACTAACAACGA